GCGCACTATGCTGCTTTCTAACACATCCAAAGTTCTCAGAGAGAAAGTCAAGGTACATTTGCAAAACATGCAGCTTGAATGACATTCGAGCACCAACAGCCCAATAGTCCGCAGTGTTTTTTGTGCTGGCTTTTTTGTAGTTCTCTGCCTTTGTTCTGCACAAAACTCCCTACATACTGCCTTGAATCTTCGCCACACTACTAACTCCAATGAAGTCAACTGGCATTCGAACGCATTGTCTGCCACTGTCCGGCGAATATCAGACCCAGTAGTTATCCCTTCTTTGAGCTTCGCATCACTGTCCTTCGGCAACACTTGTTTCCGGTAATGGAACGCATGACCATCACGTTTGAGGAAACTGACGAAGTTTTTACTCAAACCAAGCTTGATGTGCAGGTATGGTAGATGAATATGTTCAGGTTGCACAAGAGGTGTATATTTACACTCAATTTCTATACAGCATACTCCGTCCCTTCTAGGCACTTTTCTGTTGTGAGTGCTGTTGAGTTGCTCTACCGTCCCATAAACACAAGAAACAGCAATATTTTGTGAAGTTATCTTGCATACCCACTGGGAGTCCAATGACTTTGAAGTCAGCAGAAACGTTCCAACAGTAGTTATCGTAGTTCAGTGCAGCATGTATCTGTTGCATACTTTCGTAAGCTCCTACATATGGGTGGCTTGCAACAGAGGCACAGTTGGGTACACATTTCCATTGTGGAGCGGCATGGCCTTACGACAACTCTTGGACGAGTCAAGGAACAAACGCCATTCATCACTGATATACCTCATGTCAAGCTACTTCATCAGTCCTTCCACGTCGAAGCAGTAAAATGTTTCGTCACATAGGAACCGGATCTTTGAACACTGTGCTTTCTGGATACAGTAACCGTAATGTTTGCAGCAAGTAAGTGCCACTGCTGCAAACAAGATGCCAGCAACTCGGTCTTGTCTTTAGGCAAGCCCAGCTTACGTAACAAGTCATACAGCTCTGCTTATTCAATAAGATGTGGATTGATAACATCGGCTTCAAAGTTTTCACAGATGTCAGAATCAGTGGAAGTGAACGATGCGGAATCACTACTCATCATCAGGGACATGTTCACTGGAGGCATTGGAATGGATAAGGTGCAATCATGAGGAAAAGGTCGAATATCTGATGGAAGATCGGAGTAATGAATTTTATCCTTGTTTCGGCTGGAGATTCCAATGACACTGGTTAAGCAGAACTGGCAGTCTGTCGTGTTGATCACACGACAGACATGAGTTTTGCAAATGGCCTCGTGCCGTTTCCCCTGAGCCACTAAGTCAGAGGAAAACTGCACGACACACAAAACATGCGGCGCCCACTCCTTATCCTGACCTCTCTGCTTCATCTCGAGATATGGTCGGTAGGCAGACTACGGTAGTAAAGAAATGGGTCTGCACTGCGACTTTGTAATAAGCTGTTCACAGGCGTGACAAAAATGATTTCGGTCATTAACACTGCAGCATCTTTTAGTCATGATCAAGATACCAATTAAGGAAACCCAGCTTTCAATCGACTTTCTGTCTCAGGTGGACACCATGGACAAGAGGACTTCATTTCCAGATCACAGGGAGACAATAGAACAATCACAGGCGGGCACTGAATGCATGCAGTGCAGTGCTAGCTGAAATGAAAATTGAAATTAAAGGAACCTACGTGATAGAAACATTTGGTTTGCATATTTGTAATCAGCTCACTTGGTACTATTAGCAACATGCTACCTCATTTCTGTTCCAAAAATGATGTTGCACAGTGTGATCCTTTGGAAGTGTAGGATTATAGGACCGTAATCGACAAGCTTCGTATTAAGCTCATTAGCTCAAAGATTTTTCTCCTACAAAAGTCGAATTTGGGCAGCATAAGTGACCTAGTAAATCGTTTACCCGAAGAAATCTCGGTGCTCACTGAAAGCTTACAAAGTTGCAGCAGTTGGAGTGAGAATGATGTCTCAGTGAGAAGAGGTTCAGCAAAACTTGCTTGCATTTCGAATTAGCAAAATTGAACGTTTGGCTATCTAGGCTGATTCTATCCGACGTCCCTTTCAGCCGTGAAAAGTTGCTGTCTGCACTTACCATTTTTATAATTTCAGCACTAAGTATGGAATACATCGGAATGTATCTCCAGCCAGTTTACAAAACAAGTGTACTTTCTGGCATCTACCGGTGACCACAAACCTTTAACCTCGCTTGTGTTAACCGCTCTGCCGTTGGACAGAAAACTCAACATTTGAGCACGCGGTCGCTTCAACTTTCCTTGGTTCGCCACAACCCATCTACGCACCTACTGACTATGTCAGGTTGCACTGAATAGGTGCCTGATAGTCACGGATTTGTGCAAGACTGGGTACAACTTGTATACCAGACGCACAGGGGACGGTTGTTGTGCCGATTCTGAGTCTACAACTCTCTAGAAGTGTACATCCCACCTAGCCGGATGATGACAACCTCCTGGAATCATCAGTCGAACTGACTCATTTTGATTATAATTCCTCCACACGCAGCAGTACTTGAACATCGAGTGAATTCTTCATGGAAATCCGAGCTGATTAACATATGTGGTTTGCCTGGCTTATACCTGCACCATAAATACGACGCTACTTTGCACAAATTATCTCAAATGAAAGATGTTTCCACTTTCACAGTTTAACCGATAATCACGCCTTTGTGCTTACGCCTTTCTATTTCGGTCAAATATTTAAGTGCACCGCCATGGATGCATCCAACATCAATGCATTTTAACCTTATAATTTCTTTTTTGACATCTGTCTGCCCCACTATATTGTCAAGTAACAAAGAGGCGCTTAGAGTTCTAGTTTCCTTTGTGGCAGCACAAGCTCGACAGGGTTGAAGCCATATGCGACGTACCACACCGAAACGGAAACTCCACGCTCGCAACGCCCAGCAGTTCAAAGCTTTCAACTAGTGTGTATGGCAAAGCCCTGAAGTGTCGCTACACACCCGGGATTCCCGCTCACACACTGTAGGTTTCCATACCAAAAGAGCACGCCAGCTTGCCCAGTTGATTTTTTTGCGCTTATCTATCTGTTTTCCAGACGCCATAACTAGCGTTTGTTTGGTCCATGACGGCACTCCTGCATTAGAACCCTATCTTTGCAACACATCCGAATTTCAGTTCGTCGGCTCGGCCAGACTAAACAAGTTAACTACCGATGTTTCGTCACTGATCCAAGTGACTTCACTGTGACCAACGATCAGCCTCGTCAATGAGTACTGACCTCTCAGAAAATCCGGTGACCGAAATCGCTTACCACAGGATGAGGTTCGGTATTTAGTACGCCAGTCTTATCTTTACTGATTGCTGACTACCTTACTTATATATTTTGACCAATGCAACTTGCCGTCATAAAGAATACTACGGGTGCGGCTGAATGTCTACATTACTGCTGGCGCACTAATCGTATTGGCTGCGCGGGCTGTGCGATTCTTCGTCAGGTCGGTGGCTTTTATTATTTCAGGCGGTGCTCTCAGATTCCATCCTCCTCTTTCCCCTTTTAGGTTCGGGTAACCCAAAGCATAAGTGCCACGTACATCCTTTGTGCGCTTCGTAAAGAACTGAACTTTGAGTAGTTATTTTCTTTGTTTTGCATCACACCAGCACTTCCGGTTTAGTCCGTTCGAATTGCTTCCGCAATCATTGCAGTGCACATAAACTAAAAATGATACATGCCGGGTTCTTTGGACTCGTGCATGCACTTAAAAACTCATGTTAACAGATTCCCGCCTGCTTGTCGCACGTGGTTTATGTACTAATGTTTGTCACCTACGTCATTTAAGTCACTACTTCCCAGTTTCAGTGTAGTCTGATTCAGTTCCTTTTTCATTTCTTAATGCGTTCACTTCAATTTGCTTCACCCATCTTTAGTTTTTACGGCTACTTGGCCAACATAGTTAAAAAATGACCAAATGATAGGGAAGATTTAAATAACTGGCTAACTCATTCCTACTGTTGCTGGATACATCACTACCAATGTTGAAGTTTTAATAGTTGATGGCAACGGACCCGAAGAGGTATATCAGTGCCGTCTCAACAGCATCGCACTCCGTGAACTGGATGACTGTGTTTCAGACGTCGCTTTATCCTTAGTTCAACTTTTGTCACCGATTAGCAACGGCAACCATCAATCATCTAAGTGAGGGGTCGGCAAAATTTTGAAATACCTCAGCTAACTGGCGCAGCTATTCGACTGCTGCAAACGACGCAACACAGTGACATTTTACGATACACCAATTGACGGACCTAAGGGATACCTGCTCGATCTTCCGACCAGATAGGAGGAATATTTTGCAGGTACGGTGGCCGAATAAGCACTTGTGTATAATATTGTCTCCAAGCAGTTATGACTTCGACTGTTAGCACAGTAACACTGACCGCATTCCAGTGATTCGCGCCACCTTCGCTCATACGATGATTTCTCACTAAAAGCTCATGTAATTTACGTTTTGGTGTGCAACACGTACCTCAAAAATGCGCGAAAGATCCTCTTCGTTGGCTTGTTAGCCAAAACAGCTCAAATATATTACCACTTTATATGTCTTTTACATACATCAGAATACGTATTTGGACTGTGCCTTACATCATCGTTTAATATACCATTGCGCCAACGGTTTTGCAGAAAACTTCCTCATGAACTGGTTGCCTCAGCATCCTAAGAGATTAAACGGGAAATAATTGAATCACCTAAGCAACAAGTGCTATCTGTTTTACATTTATCCTTACCGATTACCTTTTTCCATTCCTTTGTGAGTTTCCCGGAACACAGTTAGGTCTGGTGTAGCATAATGTGTGTAGCGACATGTGTACGCTGCCATAGAGATCTCTATTTAAATTTACACAGACAGGCTTACATTCCACGCAAGAGCACCTCATTTAGATCCCAGCCATAATCTCTCCTACAGTGTTCACGACTGTATTCCTCCACTGGCACTAAAACCACCATTCCTTTCCCATTTAGATACAATTTGCTGTTGAAATCCAGAGAGCGGCTGCTAACTGATGGGTTTCCGGAAACGGATTATACGCTAATCTCTGCCAAACCGATGCATGGTGGTCTGGTTTATTGGATCGCGGTGGATTTGGCCGAAAACAGAATACGGCACAAGTTTGTGAGTCTCCTTGTTCTTTGGTGCTTCGCGTATGCCTGCAAGCATGAAAACACCAGATGATTGTGGCTGCCTACCGGTATTCCACCTTATGTACACCTGCGCAACCATTACCTTTGTAGTGACCTAGCAGTTCCCTTTCGTTCCGCAGTTGTGGGAATGGCGCACATATAATTTCTGTCCGTGGCCGTCGCACCTACGAATGCCTGTAACACACGCATAGCTGCTCGGCCATTTATTCTGCTACTACCCAACGATGAGTTGATTGGATAAATCAGCAGTTCGACTTCATTCACTTATCTAGCGGGTAACTTCCGCAGCCTTGTTTTCCATATTTCTACAGCTTGGTGGTAGCTTTATGTCGCAGCCGTGCACTATGAATACTCACAAAACCGGGCATTTCCCCTACCGCACTTTTCCTCCTTAAAGCCTGCTCTTTTCGTTTATTTCCCTGTGACTACGTGTCTACGTCACACTTTTTCACTCAGATGACCAACGTGGTTCTTCTTCTTTTCAATCGTACTTTTTCAATAATCACAACACGCTAGGCCTCGTAGGGTTATGCATGGATCTGTTTTGTAACATCACCACCAACTCTTCCAAGTTACTGGAAATACTCGATCGTTGAAGCGCTCTTGCTTTGGATTCCGTTACATTGAGCAACTACTTTCTGACTTGATCCCATGTTTCGTCGCTCGTTGTGAAATTTTGAATAGCAACGGAATCAAGCATGTAAGTCAAATATCTAACGTCCAAAGATATCTAAATGCAATTTGCATCCGGGTAACAATTTAGCTTCAGCAAAGACAACCTCAACAACAGTAATAGTAGCATATCAATCCGTTCATTGATGTTTCGCTTCCAAATTCCTAGCGGCTCTGCTAATGTGGTGTGGCACGTGGCAGCAGAATGAGACCTGAAGTAAACCCGAATATCCTAACCACATATTCAGGAACATACCGCTGCCTACAGCTTATCACCAACACCAGGTAACACACAAACAGCATCGTGCGAAAATGATATATCTTATAGGATATAGTGTTCGTCACACTACATCAGACAAACTGAACGGAAAATTTCAACACGGAGCACCAAACACAAAATGGCCATTAAGAGACATGATGCATATCCCTTGATTTCCATACATGAAGACCAGAAAAAGCATCACGTTGACTTAGAGAACGTAAACATAGTAACAGGTGAAAATTCAGGGCAGGCCAGATAATTCTTGGAAGCATGACATCCTACATCCTAACTCAATCAACCGACACTTTGAACTAGATGCCATCTATGTACACGGTACTACGGATAAAAAATAGCCAGCTTAATCAATTAAATCTAACGGAAGAGAACGCGGGACATGCACGTCGGACGACGTCAATCGCAGAGGCACGCGTGCTAACGTCACGTGGTACGAATTAGAGGAACCAATTTCAGTGGTCACGTGCGCATCGAACAATTCGACCTCAGAGTGACGGCTCGTCCGCCCAGACGATCAAGCACTCACACTCACTAGCGCTTCGCATTGCGCCGCTCCGCTCCGTTACATACTAGCGCACTGATGATGTCAGCTCGAGTGGCAAGGAAACGTTTGCAGCAAAATTGCCGAGCTCAGTGGACATTCGACCACCAACACCTCCCGATCTTTTTTGCCTACTTCCGTCTTGTGTTTCACAATGTAAGGGATGGCAACCACTGCCCCAGTTCTACTCTCTAGCACGGCATAATCTAAGGAACAGTAGGAGCTTCTATAGTTGATAGGCGCTGATCAATTACATCCTGGCAACCGGTCCGGTCGAACCACATGCTTTACCCAAATGTGGTCCACTTCGGGATTTTGACTTACTTTTATTTATATTCTATCAAGTCAGTATTCATTATATACCCGATGTGGACACCAGCCTTTTCCTATTAAATGCGAAAAACATTTTTCACGTATTTTTATAGGCGATAATCTTTGTTAGTGTGCCCGAGAGAATTTCCGTTTCTTTTGGCTATCCTGATGTAACTGCGGTTGCATTTTTAAGATTTTCAATTCCCTTTTTCTGGCCCCTTTCCTGATTCAATGGAGTTACCAACCGATTCCAAATCTACCGTTTCTTTGTGCAGAACTTGACAATCAGTTGATGCTCCGTCGTGCCGTGTGCGCTCTGTAATGCGAAATTTCCAATCACCAAACGCTTCTGCCCTGGATTCTACACGGAACGCCACTTCGCATGGGCTCGACAGGGACCTCGGAATACGTGGCTGATCCTCCTGAGCCGCCCTGCTTCATTTTGGTACACACTTGCCAATCATCCCAACTAGGTGAATACACCCTGTCTAGTCCACTCATCTGCCCCGCTCACCCGTTAAATCGGTTTGTACAATACCCAAATCACTATCTCTACCCTGTATAACCTTATGATTCTTATAGTCGCACTGGTTTATTGCACAAACTCAGGCAAGTATGAACCTTTTACATTAACATGTTGCTCAATCATGGGTAATTATGTGATTTCTCTTTCCTGCCCTCTCATAAGTATCTTTCCTCTCTCTTCCATGCTTTCCTTACAGAACCACTATCAACATTTAATTTTCTATACTAAGTGCTGACATTTTGCATGACCAAAAGATATATGTGATCCTTATCCTTTTTGTTTTGCGGCCATTGTCTGGTCCATTCGTTCTTGGCCATCTTACGCTTTCCTGGATGCATGGTGGTTGTCTGACCCTTGGTGGGGATCGGTTAGAAGTCGTTCGGAAATTCAACTACTAAGGAAGTTGTATCAGCGCCCTTGAGATCGAAGACGAGACCACGAACCGCATAGCAAAAGTTCGAAGTGCCTTTGCTAACCTTCGCCACCTATGGCGGCGAAGCGACATTACTCTCGCCCTCAAGGTTAGAGTGTACATACAGCGGTACGTTCGACCCTACTGTACGGTTCCCAAACCTGGCCACTTAAAGCAGCGGACATGAAGAAGCTAGTTGCGTTCGACCATCGGTGCCTTCGCAGTTTGGCTCTCATCTGGTAGGAACGCCACATGAGTATCGAGCGTGTTCGACGCCTTGTTTAGGCACAGAAAAAGATACTGAACCGCTCAGCACCGTCATTTCATACACCAGGCTGCGATGGCTGGGCCACGTGTTGCGCATGCCAGCCCACCGACTCCCACGACGTATGTTGTTTGCTCACCGGGGATGTGGATCGAAGAAGAGGTGGGGCGGCCAAGCGAAGACTTGGTCCAGAGAAATGAAAGCCCTCACTTCGGAGCTGCCATCGGTTGTAGGGTCACGGCTCCCTGGTTGGGGTCCAAAAGACAGTGAACACGTTTGGCTGGATACACTTGCTGACATGGCAAAAAGCCGACCTCCGTGGCGTTCCTGCTGTGAGTTTCTTTGTCAATCCCCATACCTTTTAGCCTCCCCCTCCACCTACGATCTCATTTCATAGCGTAAAACATAATGCTTTTTAGTGTTGCCTAGTAGCCGGTTGGTGGCTTACCGGAACGATGCCTATCCGTTGCTGGTAGCTCAGCTGGCATGCAACTGTTGTATTTATTTTCCTTTTCCTTTATGTGTTGTGGCACAGTAGCTGAGATGTTTCCCACCTCTAGCTGACGTGTATAATGATGATGATGATGATGGTGGTTGCCTGGCCATGTCTAGCTGCGACGAGTCTTTTCAGCAAACACAATAATTCCGCTTCTACTCTCTAATAGTTGGAAGCCATTAACATTTATCCGGATATTCCTTAATAGCCCAATTTTCGCACCACACTCGCCTTCGCATTCCAGAGATTCTCTAAGTGCCCTCATCACTGAGACACCTTTGACGTCGTCACGATGTCAGTACCAAGCTGAAGATTAGGATGTATACTATGTTTGTTCGTGCGATCCTCCTGTACGACTATGAGACCTGGCCTATTAGCTCGGAAGACATGAAGTGATTGTCAGGTTTTAACAATCGTTTTCTGCGTAGGAGTGCTCGCGTGTGGTGGCATCAAATAAGCCACGCAGAAGTCCGAGGGTGATTGTTTGGAGCGATTAGCCCATGCTTCCGACACATTATTCTCTGACACCGCATGCGTTGGCTCTGCCACGTATTATGCATGCCAGCCTATCGCCATCCTCATCCAAAGTTATTTGTGCGCCGCGGAAGCGATTGGCAAAAGTGCCTTGGCGGACAACCAATGACCTGGAGAAGGATCATGAAGAGGGCAACTTCAAGCTTAGCATCTGTCGGACGGGTCCAAATCCCATGATGGGGATCACGCGACTCGGACCGCTAGTGGTTAAAAATGCTATCGGTTATGGTGCGCAACATCCATCAATGGGAACAGTGGTGTTCAAACGCATCACTTAGTAATGTCTAATCATATATATATATATATATATATATATATATATATATACCAATTCCAGTTTAAATCGGACGATTTGCAAACCACTTTGGACGCTTTACAAAACATATCGGACGTTTTGCAAACCAAATCCGACATTTTGCAAAAAAATTGGACGTTTCACAAAATGAATTTCATACTTTATGCTTGTCAGAACATCATGGAATTTTTGGCAAAATATGAAAAGTATGGCGATTTGGCGCTGTTCAGATCACCTTTTGGTCACGACACTGCAACCGAGCTGTGCAAGCAGCGGGCGAATGTCCTAACTCTACTCTTGATCAGGAGTGTCAGCTCGATCAAAGTTATCCCCTCTCGCTGTAGTGGCCTCGCATGTTTTGTGGGTGGGTGGGCGAACCTACGAAGCTGCATGACCACTGCGACAAACGCATTGTGCTGCATGAAAGGAACAAGATGAGCGACGGAAGACAAAACAGCGCAGCTCTGAGGCGGCGACCGTACAAACGAACGTAATGGGCAGGGAACAACAACCTAAACAACAATCCTCACTAAGTTTGTTTTCTTCAACAGAAAGATCACCCACCAAGTTGTTAAATTCGCCGAGATCAACCTGAGCAGTGCAATACATAAATACATGTCAGCAATGCCTACACGCAAAAGAACGATTGAACAATGGCACAATAGGGATAAAAACTCCAAGGCTTGACAAGTTCCGTTAGATGGTTTGTGGAAATAACGTTAGTTTAATGAAGTTACACGAAAGAGAAAAACGCATCTGTGAATTCATCAAATTATCCACGTTAACACACGTATATGCGTCTACCACGATTTCGTGGGGTTGGTGAGCACAATGTTTGTCTGCGTCTTGTCTTCACTCAGTTAATAAAAATCAGATCAAGTAATGCAAATGGTGTAAAGCATCGTCGGGTTGCTTTTAAAGTATGGGTAGCATGGGCGCGAAAATAATAAAAATCGTAAGAGCGTTCCGTCTTTGTCAAGCTCGAAGGGAAAATACTTCAGGCGGCAAGATTACTCAGCTCAAATGTGGGACGAAGCTAGAGAGAATCGAACTTCCTATATCATGCAGTATGTTGAATAGGCCGCTGAACGGCATTTGCGGTATAAGTTGGTGCAGGTGTAGCAGCGGCTGGGGACAATGGTAAGCACCTGTCGATGTCTACGGTCTTCAGCGCACTCAGAAGATTGAAGACAACACTGAAGGAATGTCACCACAAGTTAGACCGTGTGAACAGTGTCACAACCACCGCAAGTCTGCAAGCCTACGCTCTGGACTTCTCCATATGACAAGAGCAAATGTATCTTCATCGATAAAACTGGGGTCAATCTCCATCTGCGGCGGACGTAGGCTCGCTCAAGAAGAGGGAAGCGTGCGAACATTATCTTGCCCACAGTCAGACGCAGTAGATTGAAGCTGGTTGTGGCAAAAATAACCAAAGTATTGTCCACTGAAACTAATCAGCGATGGAATTTGCGGTGGTGCTAAGTCTCCATTTTCATCGAGAAAGTTTGGCGCGGCTACGCGGCAGAGTGGAGATGAGCGGTGCATGGTTCACCATGGACAACGCGCATTCACATGAAAGATGACATACAGAGGACACTGGACTCCAATTGTCGGGGGATGTTCCTGTCGCCCTAATCGTACATGCGAACAGGACTTATGTGCAAACGCAGCTAGTTCTTCAGATAAGTTCAGTTCTCTATGGGGTGTTCGACCAAGCGTACTTATTGCAGTACATTTTTTTCAAACCCTGCCAGAACCAGAAAGAAAGTAATAATGTTGGACTTGGAGAATCTGCTGTGGGGTTAGGATGCTACAAGCAACCTCCATTGAGACCAGGGTCCTTCCGTTCCCAAAGACTATATGTAAAGTGGAAATATTTAGTGTTGCACATTGGTAACCCACGAACGCGGTTTCGTCCTGCTTTGGAATCGTCAATTGGAGATAGCTTGAAATGGGGTGGAAATCAGCGCCAAGTGGTTCACGGCCAACGCCATTAAAACTATGCCACTGGGTTCCGTGAGCAACGGTTGTTAAAACGGAAACGAATTCAAAATTGGACTTGGAGAATCCGCTGTGCGGTTGGGTTGCTACTAGAAACATTTATTGAGACCTCAGGCATTCTGATCCCAAATACCATATTTAAACTTGAATTATTTTGGTGTTGCTCATCCCAACACTGGCACCCCACGACCGTGGATTCGTCCTGCTTTGGACCAATTGCTTCGACCAAACCGTGAGCTGGGGTCAAATTCAGGGCCTAGTGGTTCACGAATGACGCCATAAAAGTTACGCCGCTGAGATCCGCTATCAACGCTTGGTAGAGCGAAAACGTATTCAAAGTTGGACTTAAGAATCAGCTGTGTGTTTGGTTTGCTACATTCAACCTCAAATGAGAAGCCGGTGCACATGAGGTGGCTTTCGGTCATTCCGATCACAAAGACCTTATGCGAAGTGGAAATCTTTTGGTGTTGCACATCCCAAATCTGGCAACAAAAGACGGCGTCTTCATCCTGCATGCACTCGTGATGTGGAGATCTTCTGAGCTGAGGTAGAAATCAGAACCTAGTAGTTCACAGCTGACGCCATAAGCACTATGCCACTGAGATCCACGAGAAACGCTTTGTACAGGGAAAGCAACTTCAAAGGTGGATTTGGCGAATGTGAAGTGTGTTTGGGTTGCTCCAAGAAACCTATATTTTTACATCGGTTTGTCCGGAAATTAACATCGGTTATTACGAGCAAAAAGACCATACGTAAAAAGGAAATGTTATGGTGTTGATCATCCCAACACTGGCACCCCACTAATGCAGCTTCGTCCTGGTATGAATTAATCATCTGGCAATTACTTGAGCTGGGGTGGGAATCAGAACCTAGTGGTTCATGGCTGATGCTAAAAACACTATGCCACTGAGACTTGCGATTGCCGCTTGGTACAGCGGAATCGAATTCAAAGTTGGTCTAGGAGAATCCGCTGTGTGGTTGGGTTGCAACAAGCAACCTGTATTTTGATATCGGTTTGGCAACGATGGACCGAATGTAAAATGGAAATAGGTTGCTGTTGCTCATCCTAACAACGGCACCCCACAACCGTGGTTTCGTCCTGGTTTCGACACATCAGGTGGAGATAGCCTGAGCTGGGGTAGATATCAGAGCCTAGTGGTTCACGGCTGACGACATAAGCACCATGCCACTGAGATCCGCGAGCAACGCTTGTTACAGGGGGCACGAATTCAAAGTTGCAGTTGGATAATC